GGCTGTGACCTTGTCCTTCCTTGTAAACAGCTGTTCTTTACTCTAAGGGTTTTCACTCCAAACTTGTCTTGCAAAAGTTGCTCAAGCTTTGGCATAAAATAGTCCTGATTCTCAGTACAACCACCGATTGGCTAGGTAGCTGGATAGACTTTGGCTAATGATCTTTTCAAGACTCCAATTTTCTTATCTATTAAAAAATACTTCATAAAATTGTTTGCAAATTAGATAAGGTAGATTATATACAGCATAGGAGATTTTATTAATAAGAGTACCTTTTTACCGCTAAAAATACATGGTTTGGTTTTATTTTATTTTTAGCATTTTAGTCATTCCATATTTTCAGTGTTGTTTCTCTCTCATGATCATTTTGCATTATTTTCACTTAATTCACCAAAGATTGCCTTGCACTGAAATTCATAGTAGAATTCACCCATTGCATGATATGAGAATAAAAAGATTAAAAGTTTGTTTTCATTTGAGCTGCTCTTGTACTTGACCCAGAAGAGTTTCAGAATCACCTTGCTGATTCTGACAGTAATGTGCCCCATCCCTCAAGTGTATTTAGATGCACAAAGATTTTACTTTGCTAGCCTTTGGAAACTGCTTACTCATGCTTACCAGTGCATGTCACATCTGGAAAACTAAGATGTTTCCATTCTACCTGTTTTTTAAAAGTTGTAGTCTTTTCCTTTGTAAAGTGAATCTGGACAAATTTACAGTCCCATGTTCAGTACCATCATTGAACAAAATAAGCACACACATACACACAGAGACCAGACCCCGTGACCTTGAGATCCTTCCAATACAATATAAATAAATGTACACATATGTAGGATAGGTATGTAATACAATAAAGATCATGGAATTAAATCTTGAATTGTTCTTATCACCTGTAAGATGACTAAAGCAGTGGAACAGAGGATCCACTTGCTGAAGATCTGCTCTTTACATGCTTTTTATTCTTTGCTTATGGACCAAGACAAGAAGGGATCCCATACAAGTCTAGTCATCTGAATAAGCTGCAGGCCAGTGAATGCCTCCTGCTGTGACTCACCTGAGGCCTTTGAAATTATCATTGCTCCGTGTGGAATGCCTTCTGCCTCCACTAGTTCATCTAACTGCTACTCCATCTTCAGAGTTAAGCTTAGACGTGAATGTCTTTCCTCCTCACTCCACCACTGGCCTCACCTTTAGGTCCCCCTTCTACATATTCTCAAATGCCCTTTCTTAGCTGAGGATTTCTCAGCTAAGAAATCCTCATGAACTGAATCGAAATGTACTTTATTTCTCATCACTTTACTCCAGTACCTTGAGCTCAAACCTTGTGTCTTGGGCACTGATACCTAATGCCTAGTACAACATAAGCACAGCAGACTATTCAGTATGTATTAAATATAGCAAAACAGTGTGTGTATGTAATTATCATGGCAGTAAAGGGCATGAGCTGTAGAGTCAGATATCTAGGTTTTGCCTTTGTGCATGTCTTCGTGATTGCATGTGATCTTAGGCAAGTTATTTAGCATTGCTATGCCTCAGTTTCCTCATCAGTTAAATGGATATAATGATAATGTGTATCTCATGAGGTTTTTGTGATGCTACATGAGTTAATGCAGGTAAAGTCGTCAGAACAGTGCCTAGCACCAAGTCCAAAACGGTTACTAATATTATTCTTGTGTCACATCTGTTTCTCCCACCTCTCTTTCACCCCCACCTCCAACCTCTGTGTTTTTCCCAACCACGTATTCACAGGAATAAAAGCAGATTTGAGGGCCAGCCTGACTTGGCCATCTCCCTAAACACCATTTTTGGCAAGCTTTCTTTGAGTTATTAGGAAAACAGCATTATTTGGAGGAAAGAGTACTTAACTAGAAATGGTCTAAGTGCCAGGTTGCCTTCCAAAGTATTTGTCTCAAAAGAGAGCATTCCTGTGAATGTCCTGGTTACTCTGTATGCTTTTATTTTATAAACAGAAGAGTTTTTTGGACACATTGTGTTGGATTTCGTGTTAGAGTCCCTCAGCACTACATTAGGTACTGTCAGAAACTTGGACTCTATCTGTGAGATACAGGGGAAAGCGCATTAAAATAGGGGTGAGAGAATCTAAGCATGTTTTGGAGCAATCACAATTAATCTGATCTTTGTTAATGCATGAAATAAAGAGGCTCCATCTAATGCACTAAAGTATGAAAATTCAACAAATCTGTTTTGAGATAGGCTAAAGACATTGAAAGGCAACACTCATGTCAAAAGAAAAATTGTGTGATATATAATGGAATATTATTTATCCATGAGAAGGAGGATTGTCTTGCAGTTTGCAACATGGATGGACCTTGAGGGCATTATGCTCAGTGAAATATGTCAGACAGAAAAAGACAAATGCTGTACGATTTCACTTATATGAGGCATCTAAAAAAGCAGAACTTGAAGAAATGGAGGATAAAATGGTGATGACCAGGGGCTGGAGTTAGTTCTGGACATGTACCTTACAGCAGGGTGGTTAAAGTCTTAGGTGTTTTGCAGTTACTAAGCAAAGTTCCCCCTCTTCTCACCATACACACACACCCAGCATGGTAACTGTGGGATGTTTTGCTATAGTGCTAACCCTTACGTAATATGTAAGTGTATCAAATCAACACGTTCTACACCTTAAATTTACACAATGTTATATGTCCATTATTTTTCAATGAAGCTGAAAGAGAAGGAAGAAAAATGTAAAAAATGATTGTTCTTGTGAAGATGGGGTATGGAGTAAGTCAGCAAAAGGAGATGAGGCAACCTCAGGAGACTCCCGGTTTTGTTGCTCTGGGGCACAGAGGACTTTGTTGTAATTTAAGTATGTGAGAATTAGAGATGTAGATTTTATTTCAAAGGGCACTTGTATTTGGAATAAGAAGCATCTGTAGTTTATTTGAGTGCAATTTAAAAAAAATTCTTAGGTTCTAGTTGGTTATTCATGATACCCTGTATTTTTTTTTTTACGTTTTTAAATGTTTGCTAAAACCTTGTGGGTTTTTTGTTGTTGACTTTTAGATTTCATGTATTGTCTGAGAGCAGCCACTTTTTAAAAACAAATCAAACCCCGCTGATATAAAATGGAGTTTTTTGTGATGTTAGCAGTTACACAGGGGGCACAAATATTGTAGAACATGGAAATTAAGTAAGAAGGACACATGAAAATGGGTCATGCTAACCAAGTCAGAGGTACTCTGCGTGTGCAGTGGATTCCGAACCTTGATGCGGGTCACCTAGGCAAGCCAAGGACTAATGGCAATAAATGTCAGTGCCGGGGGTGACAAGATGGGAAAGGTAACTTCCTGTTTGTTAATGCAGCTTTTCCTACCACAGAGAACTGGGCAGGTGTTAGGCAGTTACAGACCTGAATTCCTTAGCAAATCAGATCTTTACAGATAGAAAGATGTTTCTGTTTACAAATAAGAGTTAAGAAATAAGAAGTAAGAATTAACACTTCTTGGTGGTAACAGCAACCAATCAAAGCAACATCCTAATAGTAGACATTCCAAAACCATGAAAAACGGTTTAACTAATACCTTTATAAAGAAATGCCAAGGAAGAAAGTAATTTGCAGATCACACCAAGAAACAAAACCTAATTTAGGAGAATACATACCCTTGTAAGAACACAGATGTATGCTCTGAGATATTCAAAAAATACAATTTGCCAGCTTTTGAAAATGCATCAAAGGGACCTTTTGGAATATATTTTAATATACACTTGCTACTGTGTTGTTCATTTACCTGAGGTCAAAGGTCAGTTTTCTATTTTTTAGTACATTCAGAGTAATACAGTTTGGGATTTCAGATAAATAATTGATATTCTTTTCTAAATTCTTATCTCAACCTTTCTATGAAGTGGAGAGAATGATATCTGATGTCACCAGAGTATTTTAAGTGTGTAACTACTGAGCCATTGTTCAGCTCAAAAAGCGTGGTACTAATTACAATTGACATTTATGAATAGATTGAAAAATTAAGGAATCTAAAAGCTTCTGTATTTAGAAATTTTTTTTGAATAATCCCTTACAGAGTTTTGGCATTTAATCCTGTGCTACTCCTCAGAATACAATTCTTGCTCTTATTCAAAAAAAAGTCTCTTTCTAAATGCTCCTTTACAAAAGAAGTAGTATGTGGTGGTATAACAGTATGAAGTAAAATACTGATTCAGGGTTTGCTGATGGATGAAATTAATTTAGGGAAGAAGTATAAATAGAAGCAGAATAGTTATGGGTATATAGTTGTCCACATGAGCTATAATGAGGAAGGTACTGCTTCGGGCACAGGCCCGTGTGAACTCCTTTGAGGGCTGAGTTGCTTGTTTTTCTGGCCCACTGGCGAGATCCTCCCAGCACTGCCCTCTGCTCCTTGCCTTACTGAGAGCACACTGACCTGACTGATTGCTTCATATCAAGCCCTCATTCTTGGAATGTTCTGTAGGGCAGCTGTGTTTGTAATCCCAATAGCACAATGCAGCACAACTTTATTCCCTACTATGTGGTTTTGCCGGATACCGAAAGGCAGGGTGGTTATTTCAAGGACATCACCTTTGCTGATTTAGGTGACATCGGCTCCCACTAAGATGCTCTCAAGTCTGAACAAGGACATATTTATTCCAACATCAGAGCTGTCCATCACGAACTAAGTCTAAAAATAGCTTTCACTGATGGGCATCTGTAACCTTTGGTCCTTTTCACATTGCACTGGCTAAAACCTCTAACAGCTCTAGCTCTAACATTAGGAGGTTAAGAGATCCAATTAACAGTCTTCTGTTAACAGTGCGTTTAAAAGGCTATCATTTTGATGCCTTCATTTTCCTCACTGTGACTTCTCTGAAGAGAAAAATAGATGAAAATGATGTGACCCACAAACACTTATTGATTATGGGGACATGATGTTGTGTAACGGTTTTATTCTTCCCAACTATAAAAGTAAGGGTGTTGGACCCGGCACATGCAAAGTCCCTTATTTGCTGCTTTGTATTTCCAGATGACCAAGAATGGCACAGTGGAATCTGAAGAAGCTGGCACTCTCACAGTGGATGACATTTCCGACGATGATATTGACTTAGACAACACAGAGGTAGATGAGTACTTCTTCCTACAACCCCTGCCGACAAAAAAACGAAGAGCGCTGCTGCGGGCGTCTGGAGTGAAAAAGATTGACGTTGAAGAAAAGCATGAGCTGCGAGCCATCCGCCTCTCGAGAGAGGACTGTGGCTGTGACTGCCGTGTGTTCTGTGATCCAGAAACATGCACCTGCAGCCTGGCGGGCATCAAGTGTCAGGTAAGGATTCACCTTTCAGGGAATCCAAAGACAAGAGTTAATACACCATCCTCTAAAGATGCCGTTGTTTTCCATGTAACAGAATGTCCGACGTGTAGAAGAAAGCTTTGGGTGAGGCAAGACATTATTAAAGACTAGTTTAAAAACTAGGTGTCATTATTTTAGGCAGAGACTTGGCCTTTTTAATAAGGAGAAGCCCTCGGGCAGGCAGAAGAGGATAGTTCTCATCAGCTGAACATCTGTTCGAGGTAGATTCACAGAAGAAAGGATTCCAGAGTAAGAAAACAGCTACAGATTCTGGTCCTGACATCTGGTACTGCTTTTTATTGGGACAAGGATGATTGTGTGAGAATCTGCCTTCTCCTCTGTAGCACAGGAAATTGCCCCTGTTTGGATAAGGCAGCCAACAGAGCAAGTCCTTTCTGACTACCTGTGCTCTGGTCTGCATACAGGTTGGAGAAATGGGTACCCCTGGACTGTCCAGAATTCTACATATCACTTGAGTCAAACATTCAGTCCAGCAGTGCTAGCTGAATCCCACTACTCTATTTAGAGACTCCAGTTACTCAATTAATTTTAAGGTATTGATTAAAGGAGCATCCATCCCCTTTACTCCAGAAGCGTGTAGTCTAATGGAGTGGGGAGGGGAAGGAGGGAGCCAGGACCTAAACCTGTGAGTCCACCCGATAAAGTCATGAGTGCGCATGCCCATCACAACCCTGCAGTGCACATCATACACCGTGTGCAAGGATCTGAAAGAATGAGAAGGTAAAGCAAGGAGAGTGAATTAGCAGGCTACGTGATACCAAGTGGTGTCAATCTGGACACCTTGGACAAAGATGTTCATTTTATGATAAAGAAAAAAGGAGATGGCTAGTATGGGAATGTCATATAATTCATATTAAAAATAGCAGCTGGAGATGAAGCAATACGTTTGTTTGCTTAAAATTGGGTGTGTGAGCTGATGTGCATCAGAAAGAAAGGGAGGTTGGGGAAAGGACAGAGGCATTGGGAAAAAGGAAGCAAAGGTAACGAGATGAACAGATGGACAGAAAGGGAGGACAGAGGGAGAAGTGAAGAAAGCACAGGAGGGTCAGCACACTAAAAATACACACCGTATTTTTAGTACATCACTGTAACTCACTTTTATTTTGAATATAGGTTTCAAAACTAGGTTGACTCACGTTTTAAGCCTTCACTTTCCCTTTTCATTTTTATTTGCAGTTTGATTGTCATCTGTAATGGGCAAAGTGAAATTAAGTAATCCCAGATCCAAAGGGGTTGCTGGAAGGTGCTGGATTTTTATTTGGTTTATGAGAGTTCCATGGGGCTAATCTGTGTCCTTCCTTCCAAGGTGGATCGAATGTCTTTCCCATGTGGCTGCACTAAAGAAGGATGTAGTAACACAGCAGGTAGAATCGAATTTAATCCTATCCGTGTCCGGACCCACTTTTTGCACACAATAATGAAACTCGAACTGGAGAAAAACCGAGAGCAGCAAATCCCCACGCTGAATGGCTGCCATGGTGAGATAAGTGCTCACAGTAGTTCCATGGGCCCTGTCGCTCACTCCGTAGAATATTCCATCGCAGACAATTTTGAGATTGAAACTGACCCCCAGGCTGCAGTGCTGCACCTGCAGTCTGCTGAGGAATTAGATTGCCAAGGAGAGGAGGAGGAAGAAGAGGAGGAGGACGGGAGTAGTTTCTGCAGTGGAGTCACTGATTCTAGCACGCAGAGCTTGGCACCCAGTGAGTCAGATGAGGAAGAGGAAGAGGAAGAGGAGGAAGAGGAAGAGGAAGAGGAGGAGGACGATGAGAAAGGGGACAGTTTTGTGGACGGCCTGGGTACACATGCTGAAGTTGTCCCTCTTCCTTCCGTCCTTTGTTATTCTGATGGCACCGCTGTTCACGAAAGCCATGCGAAAAATGCTTCTTTTTATGCCAACTCTTCAACTCTGTATTACCAAATAGACAGCCACATTCCTGGAACTCCCAACCAGATCTCTGAGAACTATGCGGAAAGAGAGACTGTCAAAAATGGTACCCTCTCGCTGGTGCCTTACACCATGACCCCGGAGCAGTTCGTTGACTATGCCCGACAAGCGGAAGAGGCCTACGGCACGTCCCATTACCCAGCTGCCAACCCCTCTGTCATCGTTTGCTGTTCCTCTTCAGAAAATGACAGTGGTGTGCCCTGCAATAGCTTATATCCCGAACACAGGTCCAATCATCCTCAAATGGAATTTCACTCATACTTGAAAGGCCCCTCCCAGGAAGGGTTTGTGTCTACATTGCATGGTGACAGTCACATTTCAGAGCATTCTGCTGAAAATTCTTTGAGCCTTGCGGAAAAGAGCAGATTGCACGAAGAGTGCATCAAATCCCCTGTGGTCGAGACGGTCCCTGTCTAGGATCTTAAGTTATTCCAGGACCATCTCTCCTATTTAAAACACTGCATTTAATTGGATTTCCTGGGCTCATGGTTGTGTAAACTGAGGACCAAGCAAACTTGGACTGAATCTTCCAGACTGTATTTTGTTTTCTCCTTTCTAGCTACGTGTCTGTGGCATTGCACAAATACAGTCTATATGAGGATTTTAAAAGATTTCAGACCGTTTTGATAGAAAAATGCTAATTTTAGAAAAGCATATCTCACAATTGCCTACCTGTCAAACTGTGTGAAACCTGCCAAGTTATATAGATCAGAGCTCCAAGTTTTGGATTATCGGGCCTGTGCAAAACTGTTAACTAAGACTGGGAAATAATAAGATTTAGAGTCCTACTTTTCGATATTATCTGAAGATGATGGTGACTTTTTAAATGTAAAAGTAATTATTGTAAGAAAAAGATTTCATCGTTCCATGTGTATTTTATTTATGGTAGTTAGAAGTCATGTTTTGATGAAAACGAACAGCAGCATGTTCTTTTAAGCTGAAGATGCTAGTTAGGACCACTGAGCATGCCCCCATGGATTGCATCTGGAATCCATTCATGTTTTTATGATCATAACTGATCAGATTTGCAAATACTTTCTTAAGGGTGAAATAGGCCTATTTTTGCTATTTCGGACAAATAAATGAATCTATATCTGCAGGTCCTTACACAGTTTTCTCTAAAGTTAAGAGTTAGGACAATCCTTTGATGAGGGTCTAGTTCATTGCCCTCCTTCATTGACTCCAGAGATGGAGGTAGAGGAATTGCCTTTCTTTTTTAAACAGCACCATCTCGGTTCTTAGCTTGGACAGCACCTTTAAACTCTACTCCCCTACATCAAAATGCACTTTAGTGCCCCTTCATGGTAACTTGTGAGGGGTGGGGACTGAGAACTCCTTGAGATGAAAAAAATTTAGAAAAATTTTTAAATCTGTAACTATTAGAAGGTTCATATAATTAATGCAGAGGAATCATCCAGTGATACTTTATGAAGGAAAAATGGCCTGTTTTTTTCGCCACTCTGAAGACCTAACTCGGTAAGACCAGAGGAGGCTGAGGAACATGGAAGAGACACAGTCTCAGCAACCAGCCTTTTCCGCAGCGGGATCAATCGTCTCTACAAAGTGAGCGTATGAGATTTCCATTTAGCGACCAGCCGATTGAAGGGGGGGCCTGTACCCAAATACTCAACTAGGCCTTACTTTTCTGAAGCATTTTGATCTATCTTGCCTGGGACATTTAGCAGAACAGTCCAGAATGCATTGAATACTTTCTAATTACCTCACGTCCTCTCGTTAAAGGGGACAGATAGAAAGAAAACATGCACTCCCCACCTTTAGGCTATCTGCACTTGGTTTGTCGGAGGACTTCTAAGTTCGCGTGTTCCTGTAAATTAATTTAGGTAACTAAATAGTGTGTTTTATCTTCCTCTTTCAATACAATAGGACTATGCTAAATCTTATTTCCTATTTTTGACCTGTTGTTATGTCATTTCACATTTTATGCCTCTTTGAAACGTGGACATGCCTTGCTATTCGGTGACTGCATTGCTACTTATTTTTTATGTTTTTTAGACTTGGATGTTTAGCAATATGGATATAAATATATTGTAGACGTCAGTTCCTTAAAAAATACTATTTTCTTTAACTGAACTTAGAAATGATTGATCTAAAGAAGGTCCTCCATTGGAGAAGTTTCTACTAAAACTTGACTTGGGGAAAATGTGTTTGTGTGGTGGGTGGCTCTCCCACTGGGCTGTGTGTTGCTGCCCCTTCTCTACTCCATCACTGGGCCACATTTATAACCATGACTGTTAGCATTAAAGGATCTGTGGGTTTGTCCTTACAGAGGTAGCAATAATGAGGGCAGGGACATTCCTTTTAAAAGATAAGCCCTTTGGGATAATCAGATTGGGGTTTTGCTCAAATCTCAGTAGTATATCTGGCGTTGTCTACAAAGTTACAGGTTTTAGTGCTTGATCTCCAAAAATTTCCCCCTACCAACACAGTCTAAAGAGCACAGGCCCAAAGAGAAAATAATGAAAGGCTATTGTTCTTTATTCAAGCACAGGAAAGAATCATGTGTGCCATATTTGCTGGACTGTTACACACCATTGAAGTATTTACAAGTGAAGTGCATAGCTTCTTCTTGGAACACAGAGCACGGCAGAGTGGGGAAGAGGTGTTTGGGGCTCTGGTTGGGGCAGAGCTGACAGGTAGAATGTCAGTCCAGTTTCCGAAAGGATAGATATTTAGTTCGGTTCAGCTTCATTTTCCAAAGAAGGCTGATGCCTACTTGTTTATGTTTGGCTGGTCTCTGTTTTGTAGCTTCATTTCATAAAGGATGCTTAACCCAGAAACAGGTGAACAGACAGACAGACAAAAAACCCAGAGATTATGTCCCTGTCTGTCCAACTGGGGATATAAGTCACTGCTACACAGAAACATTAACCTTCCAACCAAGATAGCTTCCATTCCAAAGTTTCATGTACCTAACCTAACCCCTAAACGTTTCCTACAAACTACATACACAGGTCACCTGTTAAAACACACCCATACACCATACATGCACATAAACACACACACACAAATAGATGTGTACCACTCACTGGAGAATGACAGATTGTTACGCAATGGCCAATAATAAGTACTGAATTTTTCCTACCTTAGAATCTGGTTGGGTTTTATGACCTAAAAATGTGGTCTAGAAAAGAGTATAATTTGTAAAGCCATAGTTTGAAAATATTGGGTCAAAACTGCAAATAACACTAATGGTGGCATCCTTTCATTGTTATTTCCTTTCCCAAAAAAGCTGAGAAAGCACAGTGTTCCATCTGACTTTTTCCCCCGTTAATAGCCCTTCTATTCAAAAAATACTGCCCACACGCCAGGAAAGCACTACAGTTCTTCTAAGCGTTTTCAAATGAGGATCGAGCTAGACACAGCCAGTCGGGACACTTAAGATCTTTATACCAAGACACAGTGACCGAACTTGCCACTCTTGCATTGCCTGCTGCAGTGTATCTAACCAAATTGTGGTCTTTTTTTGACACACAGCTCTTCACTGAATTCACTGTCAATGTCAAAGCTTCCTGCTTTGGTCCCTGTTGTTTTAGCACCACCAGCCCTCTACCTTTTATTGGAGCTTAATTCCCAGTTAGAATCCCAGGCATATTGATTTGCAATTCAAGAGGCTGGAGCCATGTGCATTTCCTTTGTCATTCTAGGTTTCCTTTGGGAAAAAGAAGTCAATGAAAGAGATTTACCTAAGGTCCTGCCACCCCCTCCCCACCTCCTGAACATTGATTACTAAGACATAAGTAAAATCTGTTTGTCTCATGTTTTTTGGTTAATTGAATAATATAGTTACCCTTAGAAAGAAGTTTTCTTTCTTTGTGGTGAACCTATATTTTTCCTATTGTGCCAGCCACATATAGAATGTGGAATTAATATTTATTAGAATGATAAAATCATGACAATTATATATAACTCAGCAATAAACAACAATGACTTACAAATTCATTGAGAAGCAAAGAGATTATAAATGATAATGTTCTTTAAAATTTTACATTCAGAGGACTTCTGAACAAAATTCTGATTTGGTTATCATTAAACAGAAAATATGATTTTTAAAATATATTTCTGGTTCTTTCATTAAACTTCTGATATTGTTGTACAAGTTTATAACCCTTTGGTTGTAATATCTAGAATTTACTAAGTAACAATTCTTTCTTCCAACAAATATTTATTAAGCACCTACTATGTTAGAGGAACTTTCTGTCCTAAGTGGTAAAAATGGGGGGGGGGACTCAAATTTCTAAGTGGTTATGATGATGAAGAGTGTCATGGAATAATCAAGCCTCATTATAATTCTTTTAATTTGTAATTTTATAAAGTGACATTAGAACGTGTGACATCAATTCTTGTGTAACTATATGCAAACTGCAGCTAAGAGGACACTTCTTTTTTCCTAAATTAATGTGACTTCCTGTATCTTCCTTCTTTCCTCTGCACCTATCTGGAATTTATTAATTAAATCTGGACCCAGCTAGAATAACTGAATCTAACAAAAAAGAGATTTTTCAGCTAATTGCTTCTGTGTGAGACCTATATAAGTGACGCTAAATTTATACCAGCAATCTCCTACCAGACAATTTCAAAGGCTGGTTGACTCATGCACAACCCAGGAAACATTTCAGGAAACCTTTGAAACAACAATGGGGGAACACGATCACTCTTCTATTTATAAACAACCTATCGAAGTAGCAAAACTCTAGTTCCAGGTTTCAAAGGCATCGCCTTGCAGCCTGCAGAAAACAGAAGAGGTCATTCTGCCCTCTCACTTAGCTGGGGTTACAAACCATCAAATTAGCAGGTGGAAAATTGACGTCCTCAGAAGTCAACAGGAGACTGCTTATTTAAAAGGTGGCACAAAGCCTTCCATTTCTTCAGATATGACTTAATCTTTCTCTTTCAAATGGCATCTGCTCCTTATTCTCGCACAGAGAGCTCAGAGTGTCATTATTGTAGTCGGTATATAAAATACCAACCTTAAAAGGAAAGCTCTGGCATGTTTTCAAAGGCAAAATTTTACTCTCGTTGAAACTGGAGCTCTTTAGATCCTTCCCACAACCAATGTCAAAAGTTTAAAGTCTTAATCACTCTTAATTCTAACACAAATTTGTGACTACTGGTTACATTATTTTTTCTGAGATGTGCTCACTTGGCTAGAATAACTTAAATGCCTAAGCCTAATGCTCCAGCTTTGCACAAATAGCACAACTTATCAGATGTTTTCTGTAGCATTAAATAGTTTAATTGACTAAATTTAACCGAGTATCTGCAATTTGAAACCTCACTAGAAGTATGGAAGCATCAGGGTGGGATGAGGGTGGGATATAACCTTAAAAAGTGACGGTGTCTTCCTTGGAACCATTAAGTTTCAGCAGAGCTGAAAACTAAAATTTTATTATAGGAGGAAATAGTGGATTCACAAATGGCAGCCCAAGTCCTGGAAGAGGCAGTTACAGCGTGGACACCCGCACAGCCCTGCGGGTGCTCACCATCGGCTGCCCACTGTCGCACCAGTTACACCTCACCATCTAAAAATCCTGTGGTGCTTAAAAAAATAAAAACAGCTGTAACAAGCTGAAAAAGACTATTTTTAAGATTGAACCCCAATTTATATCACAATAGTCTATCGACTGTTGTCAGAAGTAACAAATACAGAAATCAAGGAGCTTTTTCATATTTTACCTGCCAATCTGTGTATTCAATGTGACTCTTTAAAAAAAAAGTCACTTCTAAGTTTGACTTTAACTTTTTTCCTGTCTTTCAACCCAGACTGTGAGATGCCCCTTCCTAACCAAATGCTGCTGCTTTGTTTTGTGTTCTTTCTCATCAAAAATTCAAACTGAGAAGTTTGATATGAGCTGGATTTTACCTGGTGGGCAGTCCTGGGGTTAGTCTAACTCTGTCCCAGTCTGTAGAGTAAACAGCATGGCCTGAGTTTTGTATCCTGGCAGTGGTGACTCAGGAAGAATGATGGAAGCGGGAAGGATGTACGGCCAGATTTGAAGCCTAAACCAGTCCATGTTGCTACATGCAATTTGTGTGATCTAATTAACTGTAGCCTGGAATTTAGTAAATGCAGATGCTTCTTACATTCACAGAAAATGGGGTAATTTCAAAGATTTAAGTCACGTTGACTACTTTTGCTTGTGATAAATACATCACGACACAGGGGAATTTTTTATTTGATATTTTACACTTATAATTCAAGGAAAGCCAACTCTAGCGTGTCATTTTAGTACATCTCATAAAATTTCTGGCAGAACTAAAGTTTCAAAAATGTGATAGAATTTATTTTGGACAACATTTGTATTCAATATGCTAATGATGCTGTTCCTCCCTTTGCATTACTCATTACCATGGCGACAGTCCAGTCAGTTCAATAACTTTCATTTTAGTGATGTGTGAGGTCACTCAAATATTTTTAAGATAATGTATATTGATTAGAAGAATTCAGGAGAAGACAAATTTATGCTAGAAATTAGTCTTGCCTTTGTCTAAGTTAGTTTATGTTACCTAATTGATTTCCATTGTAATTTCGAAATGGCTTGTTAGGTATACCTCTCTTTTTTTATTTTGGCCTTCTCCTGATATTTTTTAATCTGGCTTAGGAGTATCTTAAAAGTTATTTATTAATGAGTATCTGGAAGAAAGTTGAATTGGAAAATATTTCTTTAAAAATTATCTAGGGATTTCTGTGACAGAGTCCTTCACCAAGTCCTAGTGCCCCACTGAGTCCACACCAGAGACCCCCTTCTGGGAGGTCTGGCTTCCTGACTTTAAAAAAAAATGATTCCACAAGTCTCCTAAGAAATTAAAGTTTGAAATTTCTAACTACATAGCAAAATTCTCCAATTTTGTTTTGCTCATTTTTATGCTGGCAACTAAGCTTATCTCCTTAGCCATAAATAAAGCCAGCCATGTTTAAAACAAATTCAAAGATCTATGTATCATTTTGAAATTTTACTTAAATATGAAAGAGAAGGAAGACCTGAAATAAAATCCAAATCTGAGTTCTTCTAAACAGGAGAAATTTAAATACCTAATCTGTCTGAGGTTAGTTTTATGTTTGTTTTTGGTTTGAGGGTTTTTTAAACTTATTTGTTGATCCTTAGGTGGTTTAATAATACCAAAATGATATCTGAACTTCATAAACTTTACATTTTAGTAGATACAAAGTCATTTCCTTAATACTATAATCAAATAGGGTCCACTGTCAAAAGTTGCTGTCTGAATCTTGATTCATTAGGCACTAGTCATGCCAAATGGGTATCTCAGAATAGTTTAATCTTTTCAAAGATACTCACAATGGCCAACTGTGTGAACAACGGAAAACTTGAGATTCTTCTGTATTCTCTAACTTTTATAGTCGTGAGACTAGTGGAGATCGCCAGAGGTCATCTGGCTCATCCATCTACCTCCAGGGAGGACTGTCTGTCGCTCAGACATGCCCAACAGGATAGCCACCCATCTATTCTTCACATCTCTGGGGAAGGCGGTTTCCTCGGCAACACAATCCAGATCTCTTAGGTTTTTCTCACAATAAGAAAATATCTTGGCCAGTTGTTGTGAGCTAGGCACCTGGCAACAGTTGTGGTGATTTGGGCCATTGTACTGAGAGACATAAAGTTGGGTTTCCCCTACCTTTGATAATGACTATATTGAATGATTCTATAAGTCTCCTAAGAAATTATATTTTTAAAAATAAAGATATGGGTATTGAGATAATGCCTGGTAACATGACTTGCTCTTAACAAATAATGACTTTAGTTGGATTTTTTATTTTGTTTTTGTTTTGTGTTATCTGTGGTGTCAGGAGGCAATTTCGGGAAAAGTGACTTTTTGAGAAGTTAAAAATTTTTTAAAAAGCATTTTTTAACTTCTTGCTTCTAAATAAATACCTTCTCATTCATTTTTTCTTTACCCTAAAATGACAAATGAGAAACTCAAGCTTCCCCTTCTTCTGGGGAAGTCGGGACTAGCTGTGGAGAGTCTGATGTGGAATAAAATTACTCCAGAGAATTACTCGCCCACCATTTGATTCCAGCCTTTGTCTCCAAGTTATTTAAACAATAGCTGCCTGCCTTCTCAGGGATCAGCAAAATGATTTAAAATTGGTCACCCTGACAAGGCCCGAAAATGAACGAAGGTGTCCAGGAGGGCAGCGATTTTTTTCTGATTACATCACTTGACCCAATCACTGCCTGCAGCTTTCAAAAAAAATGTTTGGATTTTTTTTTTTGGGGGTTTGATTAGTTGCTTCCAACTCAGAGTCAGAACTAACCTGAAGATGAGGAACACCCCTGAAATGTTTCCTTTCTCCATGGGATTTTTAAAATCTAGGTACAGCTGCTTATCTCCCCAACTTGGATGCTCTTGCAAAATGACAGCCACATCAGCATGATTGACCACCATAAATGACACAAAGGGAAAGAACCTTTCTTGCTTTAAAATAAAAAACTATAGAATTGTCTGTAAAGAATGTTGAATCATTTGGCCCACGTTTTAATTGACTTTAGGCACCTCTATGGAAGTAAGTCTAAGGTGTAGTTTGTGAAACATGTTTCAAAAGTGTTTGATGTAAAATAAATGCTAGACATTTACAGTACAGAAATAGTTTTTAAAAAAATTAAAAGCCTGTAGATGATGACTCTGTTCCTAAGAACCTCAGCCTTTATTGTGTCTTAGTAAAGTTGATATGCTTTTATTTTAGTTTATTGCATTTCTGGTGTAATAATAGCCTCTTAAGATAGAACTATTAATACATATGTACTGGTTATGCCTGTTAATGCAGAAAATGGCACTTTGTTATTTCAATGTGTTTCCCTCAATGTCACAGGGTATATCAATTTGATAGGAGAAGGTCATTTGACATTGGTCAAAAATGCATTTTCCCCATTGAAGATGTATGTGTATAATCAGTTGCATAGACAAATGTAACCTTTTGCAGTATTTTTATCTTG